GTCCGCGCTCAGATGAGACGGGGCTGAGCAATGTCAAGATGCAGGAGGGGGTGTTTGTGGAGATCACACACCCAGTGTTTCTCCAAGACTTGAAGGACTGACCGAGGCGGGATCTCTGGGGTTGCTTGCAGCAGTTTCTGCAAGCAAGGCGCCACTGCTCACTAGAAAGTCGTCTTCCCAGGGACCGAGCTGAAGGCCAAGAACCTGCCACTCTGTTTACTCAATGCACTTAAAAAATAAATTACCCCTATTCCAGCATTACAAAAAACACAAAAACTTTTTTGTTTTGTGTTTGATGAAGGTTTACAGAGCATATCAGTATCCGTTCAATAATGTGTACACATTTTGTTACCTGTCATTGATTATAATCCTCCCAACATAATAGTACTTATCTCGCTAACGGTGTTTCCAATTTCAGTTCCTTCTTTCGTAGCCCTTCCTGCCTTTTGCACTTTGTTCTTGGGCAAACACTGCCTTTTGTGAAAAATAGTTTTTACTGGTCAACACCCTCTTCACCCCATCCTTCTCCCATTTCAGGTCTCAGGCACGCCCCAGAGAGAACCAGTCCAGTCTAGGCAGCTGGGGACTGATTACGACAACCTTGTCCGTCCATTCGATCGATCGAAGTAAGACTTTCAAAGGCTGTGACTGGCTGTGTGGACCAGACTTCATCTGCCAGCAGGCTGCCTGGTGCCTGCGGTTCCACTGCTGTCGTTCCTACTTAATTGGCTTCTAGGGTTTACAGAGGATATTCAGTTAACGGTTGAGAAACCACCTTGGAAATGGTGAGTACCAAAGGGAAATGGGTGGTTCTTGGCAGTGGCAGGTGAGGTTACATATGATCGTGATGGGGCAAAGCTCTCGGCGCTGTTTTCTCTACGAGGGAAAGGGTGAGATAGAGGCCAAGGAACTGCGTCTTGAGAGGCACCTGGAGGCCGCGGTCTACTCACACCGGGCCCGCAGTCTGTACCAGTGTGTCCCCAAGTGGGCGGTCTTGCCCTTTGTTGTTTTGCTTTGTTTTTGTTTTACTTATTTGTTTTAATACTGTCCTCTGAATGACACTTGAATGATCCAAAGGTACTCAGAAAAGCAGATACCGATACCTTATCCTGGATTAGGGGCTGTTGTACAGACATTTTTAATCGCTAGGGGCCACTAAGTCACACACACACACCCCCAAAGGGGCAGTTTGCCAAATAACATTGGGAATGTGTTGATTCAATATGTTTTTTCAAACCTTACAGACCTGGAGTTTCCTTTCTTATTTGACTCCCAGAGGTAGTTCTATGGGGCCTTCACATCCCACCCTGGGCATTGGGACTCTTTGTGGAATCACAGAATCTCCTCCACAGAGCCTGAGCAGATCCAACAGGAGACTGTCCCCAGATCCTCCACATCCATCCTCTCCCTTCACTGTAAACAGTGCTCTTAGCTGTCCCTAGGCTCTGGTGTTTTCCCATGCAGTTCTAAAGTTACAGATTTGCCTGTCACGTGGTGTAGTGCAGCACGCAGAGGGAGAGATCGTTATTAGGGGAGGAAGCTGGCTGTCTTGCCCCGATCGTGTCCTCTCGTGTCCTCGCTGAAGGAATGCCGCAGGGGCGTGAGCTCCACTGGACTATGAGGGAAGTTAGAGAAGCGTCCCTTTGTTGGCCCTTGGTGGCTAGTTGAGTCAGACACTTTAGGGTTCACAGGAAGCAGGCTGTGTATTCCAAGTCACTGCCCTCTCAGCCTCTCTGGGCCGAGAGATGGCGTTTCAATTATAAACTGTTTCCTCACAGTATCCAATTAGAATACAGCACTGAAGTGCTCTTTCATTGCCGGGATATAAAGTTAAAGAGCCCTGGGGTGGTGTAGTCCATTATGCTTTGCCTGCTAACTGTAAGGTCAGCAGTTCGGATCATCACCTGCTTCACTGGAAGAAAAGGAGATTGTGTGCTCCCTTCGAGAATGACAGTCTCTGAAAACCCAGAGGTGCAGATGTACCAAATCCGATATGGTCTCCAAGTCGGAAGCCATCCGATGGCTGTAAGTTTCGGTTTTTCTTGCGCAAGAAGATGAATATACGAAGTCAGTGGATTTACCTTGTTGCCATCACAGTTTCCTTTGTTAGCACAATTTTGGATCAGTTATGTTCTTGCTTAGAATATTTTAATTAAAAATATATATTTTAATTTAATGGCTAGAAAATCTCACAATCACAGGAGAATGCCTATTTTAATTGACATTAAAGTGTCTTAATAAAAAAGCCCATGGAGACTGCATTAAATAGAGCAATTTAAGCTTTAAAAAGGTTCTGTCGAGCGTATTAATATTGAGAAGGATCTTGCACACTCCTGCACGTAACGCACTGTGCCAGAGAAGATGTGTTGAATCTTCTGGACATGGGAGAAGCCTCTGCTGACTGTGAACAGGGAACATATTGAATGGTACCCCAGCTGCTCTCTTTAATGAGAGAATTTCATTTTCATACACAATATTCCATTCTCTAATAATTAGGTCTGAAGTGACTGATTTTCAAAAGGTTTTAACTTTGGAATGGGATGTGCTAAGGAACATTCAGAAACAAAGTTGATTTCTAGTTTCTTCAAAAGTAAAATCAATGTGTTTTTCCAGTAGGAATGTCCTTTAGTTCACAAAAAAAAAAA